CAAAGAAAGAAAACATTCTGCCTAAACTATAAGAATCACCAGCGGGCTCAGGAAACAGTATTTAGAACTAAACTGAGGTGGCTTATGGTGGGGGTGGCAGTTGGTATGTAAATACCACTGGGATGACAGCAGATCTGTTGACTTCAAAACTAGCTAAATATCAGCTTTAGGGAAAGACTCCAAGGAATGTCAGAGGGCTCTATCCTAGACTCTAAGTTGCTCAATATTCTTATCAACTTCATTGATAAAGACTTACAAGACCTTCTTATCAACACTGTGGATAATTCAAAATTAGATTATATGAATAAGTCACTTGGTGACCGAATACAGATTCACGAATGGCTGACAGCTACAGGGATGGATCCAAACATGCTGGATTAAATCGAACGAGAAACCATGTCAAATTTTATGTCCAAGGACCATTTTCACCAGTCTAGGTTAAAGAGGGAAGCAGGCCTTCCAGAAAATTGCAGGAATTTGAGTTGGCTGCAAGCTCAGTGTGATTCCAGACTGCAGCACAGCTGCCAAAATGGCAAACACAAGACCTGGCAAGCTTCACACGAGCACAATGTCCAGGACAAGGAGATAATCATTCTGTTATGTCCTGCCCCTAACAGACCACATCTGGGGCACAAAGTACAAGGGAGCAAGCAACTGCAACCCACAAAGAATGGTTAAAGAAATGGGGCATTTTAGTCAGAAGAGAAGCCATAACAGCTTTTTGTTCACAAACATCTCAAGGGCTGACATATGGCCCAGGGGAGACCTCATTTTGCTTGATTCCAAAGGACAGAACTCTGGACAGATGTGTGAAAGTTACATGGGAGGCAGACTTTGGTGGCAGAGAAGTACAAGCAAGTCAGCCCTGGCTCAAGCTTCGCCAGTCTGTGAGTGTGGCTACCTAAGGAAAACTCATGGTTCTCTTCTCCTCATCACCCTACTGCCAAGCAGGAAATGCTGTAGTCGTGTTGGCTTTGAGGATATTCCACTGGTCACTAAATGAGTGTGCCCATAGTAACAAGATACGGCAATGATGTGACCAGGTGCTAATGTGTGTGGGAGACTGGGGCTGGGGACTAGGAGAGGTGGTGATGGTGAAGCATGCTCCTAGAAAAGGGGACACCTTTTCTTTGTGTCTTATCATTTTCCTTTAAAAGAGAGAGAGAAAAAAGAATATACGATTCCTAGAATCCAGCCTTTTATTAGGGTGGGGCCCAGGAAAGTTTTTAAATTAAATTGAATTTTAGTTTAGTTTTTGCACTCTCCAAAGGCATAGCTAGGTTTGGAAAGTACTACAAATGACTCTACAACGTGCTGGTTCCAGGGAAAGTCACTTTAATAATTAGTGTCTAGGTTTGATGGCTCAATAATCCCCTCAGCCCTACTTCTCCAGATACTCAGAGCCAGTTTCTTAGAGTCAGTTTCTGAGGTTGGCAGCCCCTTGCCTCTGCCCTTTTGCCTGCTGTTGCTCTGCTTTTCACGCCACAGCAACAGTGTTTCTGCTTCCACTATGCATGCAACTGCTCTCTCCTCCCTCCTAGTGGTCTGCACCCTGGATGCAGGCCATCTGCCCTCTGCCTCTGGCCAATGCCCCTGTGGCATTGGGCATCCTTTCTCTCTGCCGCCACCACCTGGAGCTTCTTGCCCCTGTCTGCCATCCCTTGGGTGCTCACCTTTCTCTCTGGCTGAGAGGGAAACACTTTCCCCTTCCTCCATCCAGCTCTCTTAGAGAGCTTGTACCAGGGTTCTTGGGGCTTCAATGATACTTTATTTTTTTTTCAACAAATAATGATTTAATGCCTGCTATGCCCAGGCACTGTTCTGAAATTGAAGATAAAATGGCAAATAAGAAATACAAAGTCTTTGCTCTCATAAAGCTTGTATTCTAGCTGTAGGAAGCAGATAATAAACGAGAGAATTTCAGAGAGTGTTTAAGGCTATGAAGTAAACAAAATCAGGCAGAAGTGATGGGAAACATAAATTGGTAGTGAGAGAAGCCTCTTTAAAGAGATTCCCTTAAAAGATAAGGAGTCAACAATGCAAAGATCTGGGGAAAACCATCTCAGGCATGAAGAAGAGCAAGGATGAAGGCCCTGGGGAGGGAATGAGCTTAGTGTATTTGGAAAATTCAAAGGACAGTGTTGTCAGGGGTTGGGAGAGCTTCCTATAGCACCTAGAATCACCATTTGGTTCATACATCCTGCTGTGACTGTTACTCTGCCCATCTGCCCACACTCCTGCCCCACACATGGTGACTTGTTCTTGGAACTCTTCCCTGCTTCTCTCACCCAGTCCATGAGACATATTTGCAAATATCTCAACCACAACTGTAGAGAGGGTTCAAGTTATTTCCTGTGGGCTCCTAGCCTCAAGCAAATCAGTAGATGTGGGTGGTTCCCTTGTTTAACTTTTCCTGAACATTTCATGGAAGTTATAAATATTCTGTGAAAGGTAGAAGCCTGCTCTACATAGACCTTGCAAAGGACTTCTGGTGGTCTCACTTAACTCCTTGCCTTGTCCTATCTGCACCCCAACTCCATCCCTGCCAAAACATCCTGTAAAAGTGAGGCATTTTATACCAGCAAGAGCTGGCAAGCATCACAAAAAACCTTTTGTGTGATATAGCAAGCTTCCTGACACTATAGATGCTCCAAGAGAGGTGCATTTGGTAAAAATCAAACACAATTGCACACTACTGGAGGAGAAAAGAGAGAGCATGTAATGCTTTAAATGACTTGGGCCACATGCCACTCCATTCAATGCATGAATGTGCTCAGTGAGCATGAGATGAGCCTCTCAGCTCCCTCACTCCATCATATGATGAGGATTTTGTACTTGCATATCAGAGCAAACCAAGGGTTTATCTGCTACTCTACTGAGGAAACATTGCTCTCTTCCAATGCTGGAGGGAAACTAGAAGTGCTAGACTTTTTGATACATGCCAATTCGTTTCTATTCCTCTTACAGGAATATTGGGGGTAGGGTGTTTAGATAAGGCTAGGTTGAAGCTGCTATCTGGGTTTTATCTTATGTGTAATTTCAAAGGATTAATTTTGACTTTTGTGATTTTTGCTTTCCCTTGCTCTTCTTGAATCTAGCCCTCTAGTCCCATCTTAATGGAACTCTGCCATACTCAAACATTTTCTTTCATTTTCATTCTGAATGTATACCCCAGTGGGTTTTCATTTTTCTTTTTCTCTTCCCACACCACCCCTTTGCTTTCTTGGCTTATTTACTTAACCCTCATTCCTTTTGTTCTTTGCTACTTCCTCTTTTATTGAGAAAGGAGAATGAGACAAAAGAGACCACAACACATCCTTGCACATACACACCCCAGAACTCCTGCCTCTGCTCTTTTTCCCTTCTTTCTTTTGAGACAGAGTCTCACTTTGTCACCCAGACTGGGTGCAGTGGCACAATCTTTACTCACTGCAGCCTCAACTTCCCCAGTTCAAGAGATCCTCCTGCCTCAGCCTCCTGAGTAGCTGGGTCTACAGGCATGAGACACCACAGCCAGCTAATTTTTGTATTTTTTTGTAGAGATGGGGTTTTGCCATATTGTACAGGCTGATCTTGAACTCCTGGGGTTAAGCAATCCACCTGTCTCAGCCTCCCAAAGTGTTGAGGTTATAGATGTGAGCCACTGCATCTGGCTTCCTCTGCTGATTCTTAGCAGGAACATCAGTTTATATGTTGTCAAGTTCATGCACCTAGATGACGTTTCACTGAGAGAATAAGACATATTGTGTTTTTACATGACTGTGCATGAAAATATGTGACAGAGACAGTTAATATGGTCCTCACAAATTTATTTTCTGTTTCATCTTTTAGAAAAATAAATCCTCCTTCAAGTTTTAACTGGGCTCATGGCTACCCAGCTAAATGCTATATTTCCCAGCCTCCCTTGCAGCTAGGTATGACCACATGACTAAATTTTTGCCAACAGAGTATGTTTAGCAGTGCTGGGTGCAGTTCCTGGGTCACATTATTAAAAGAAAACTGCTGTCCTCTACTTCCTCTCCCCCCAGTCCCCTGCATGCTGACTGAATACAGATGTGCAGTGGTTCTCCTTGGCTGTAATGGTGCTAAGGAGAATAACAACTTAAAACAGTGCTGTTTAGTAGAAATAAGCTCAAGCTGGGTGAAATTAATTTTGTTAACAGGTATCCATTAAAATATGTGAAAATAGGCAAAATTAGTTTTAACTAGTGTATTTTACTTAATATATACAATTACAATTTTAATATGTAATAATACACAAATTATTGAGACGTTTACTCTTTTTATACTAAATTTTCAACAATCATTGCATATTTTATACTTACAGCACATCTCAATTCAGAATAGCCACATTTCAAGCACTTCATAGCCACACATGGCTAAGTAGCTATGAACTAGACAACAGAGTGCAAGAAGATGTCAGGGGAACAAGGTAGAAGGAGCCTGGTTCCTGGATGGCCTTATGGAGCAAAGCCTCCCATCATGCTGGATCTCCCATTTACCTCTTGTTTAAAACACTGTGTTTTGGGTTCTGTTAGTAACATGAGCTTAGCCTGTACTATGACTAATATAACATGGTAAGAGTCCCCCCCATCTCACAACAGAAATTGATATTGACCTATATATATGTGTGAGTCTGTATAACAAGCAAATGGACAGTGTGAGAGTGAAAAGCTCCTCATATACCAGCCCATAGTGGTAAATGTATCAGTGATTATAGCTTCTTGATGCAATTGAAAGAGTCAGCTGTAATGAAACAACTTACCTGTGACTGGAGAAGTACTCAAGTTTTAAACCTTGAAAAACTCCATTTTGATATGCTTTTTGGTATGTTTTTATTTCTTTCATTTCCTAAAACTCAGAGCAATAAACAATCTCCAAAACCATTAAGCATTAGCTATAGCTGCATTTTCTAATTTTTATTATCAGTTTGCACTAAATACTTATTAAAAGTAGTAACGGTTAAAAAATAGTTACATAATAAAAAAGCGGGGAATGGTGCAAAAAAGGGAAGAGAAGTAGGAGGGGTGGCTTAATTATAATATCATCAGCAGCATTTACATTTTTAAAAACTCTACCATCCAGGAAATAGTTTAAAAGACCAATTTCTCAGATCCTAAATATGTCCTTTCCAAACATATAATTTTACAGGCATGGTCATATAACATCTGTATGTAAAAATAAAACAACAGTAAAATCTGTTTTTTCTTTTTTCTTTTCTTTCTGGGTTTTTTTGCTTCCCCCCTATCTAATTTCCTTTTGTTTCCCCACGAACAAAAGGAATTGGCCAAAGACTGACAAGGTTCTTCATGATTCTAAATTAATCCTCTAATTTATGGGGAAATACAACATTGAAGCCAATAAGAGAAAAGAGCAAATGTGAATAAGGATTTATCACTTTATATTACTTTGTAGTAATATAAAGTAATTCTCCTGAGAGATGTCAGTTACTATCTTGATTTGTTGTTCTGTTTTCCTTGAAGGAAGGCTCACCATCCAGAAGGCTGAGGGTAGCTGAGTGAATTTCATTCTATTCCCAACTAATTTCATTGAGTCAACACAGAAGACTGGTTAAGAGCACAGATTTAGGAGTCAGACAGACCTGAGATCATATCCTGATTCTGCCGATTATTAGCTGTGTGACCATGGGTAAGGAACTAAACCTCTCTGAGATTTAGTCTTCTTATCTGTAAAATAGTAACGATCAGAAACTTCCTCAAAGTACTATAAGGAATAAGTGAGATGAGTAGGAAGAACTTAACACAATATCTTATCCAGGGCTTTGCCGCTAAGTATTTTTCTATTTCCAAAATAATCATCTCATATTTTTTTAGCAACCACTGTGTGACAATTTCTTTTGACGTGAATTATTTCTAATTTTCACAGGAATGCTGGGAAAAAATCAAAACACCCTCATTTTACAGATGGAGAAATTGGCTCAGAGAGGTGAAGTGGCTTCAGTGAATATGTGACCAAGCAGGACCTGAAACCAACCCACCCAACATCAAAGCCTGTGCGCTTTCCACCAGTCTGAGGTGTCTACTCCTGTGGTCGATGTGTGTCTCAGTGTGGGACAAAGAAAAAGCCATGCAGCTTTGGAGGTCTGCAAACCTCTCAGTTTAGGATAAAACCCCCAATTATGCTTGAAGTTGGACCAGCTTTTGAAACCTCTACTGGACATTCTTTTCCCATCAAGTTCCTGGAAATGTCCCTTTAAAAAACATCTAGGAAAAGCCACTCTCATTAGCCAGAATCTGACTTTATTTTCCTAATAAACAGACCTCTGGTAAGACAAAAGAGCCTCTTTTATTTTCAATCAATTATTAAACATTTCAGTGGATTTTCTTCTATTTGGCTTGAAATTGTGATCTGGGAAAGGCTGGTCCTGCAAATTGTCCTCCTATATAAAGGAAGCCCCTTGAGGATCCTCAACTTGTTATTTTTAATCACTGTAATCTCCTTTTCAAAGGAGGCCCTGGTCAGAAACAGAGCAGGCCTTTCAGAGCTTTCTAAAGCACAATTATTGCCGTTGGAGGGAGGGGGGACGGTGGGAAGAGGGAGGGAGAATAGAAGTGGTGGGAGAGAAAAGGAAATCAATATAATACTAACAACTTGGAAAAGACAAAATAATGATCTCAACTGGATTCAGGTTTTGGGGAAGAAACCCCATGTTTCAGTCTTTTTTTAATAGTGACCATTTTATTCCGGTCTAGAGTACCTAAAGACTATACTTAGACAGCAGGCACAAAGAACAGAAGCTGCTTGGGGATGAACTGGAATACTGTGGACAAAGATTTGAGGCAGGAAAACAAGTCATTGATTCCAAGGATTGTGAGGGATCCTAATTCAGGAAAAAATTAAAAAGCAAATAGAACACCAGGGGAATGCCAACTTAACAGCCTTAAGTTAGGACAATGAGCAGAATGTGTTCGAGTTACTTTTAACATAATTATTCTAAGAAAGAAGGAGCCAGCAGAAAATGTCACAAACTAGGCCAGCAACTTTTCTTTCAAACTTTGAGTGGCGGAATCAGGTTTGCTAATTGCAGAATATTTACTTGGAAAACATCAGCATGGTTCCTGCAAGATCTCTTTCAAGGTCTCTTAGCCATAAGAAGGGAGAAGAGATGATTGCCCAATCTATAGCCTGAGTTGGGGTGTCAAAGTCCAGAGGGCTGTTTAGGCAGGAGTAGCCTGAAGGGTGAAAGTCCAGGACACTCCCTATCCAGTTCCCCACCTGCTGGCCCTGGACTTTTAGGTAGTTCTAAAACCTCTTTAGCCCGGTGAATACCAGCTGTATGTCCTTCCCAGTGTTAGGGCCACCAGCTGCCAATGCTCAACTAAAACACGCAGGATTAGTGTGAAAAGAGACACTGGGTACACTTGGCCTGAACCCCAGACTAGCCTAAGCCACTGAAACAATCCTCCTGGGCTTGGATTCGCAACAGTCTTAGCCAAGGCTCCTGATATGAAGAAATACCTCATTCATTAATTCAATTAATTCATGAGGACCCAAATAACCACCATTCACTGGTGGATGAATGGGACTGGAGGAGAGCTGATGAAACCTGCTTTCAAACGCACACATGCTCTTCAAAAACAAAAATCTGATCAAGAACCTACCTCCATTAGTAAACCAATAAAGGCCTCACATTCAACTCTTACGCTTATTAGGCATCTCTTTTAGCTCAGGCACACTCACCTTTGTAAACTCATTTACTTCCTACCACCAAGAGAGGGTGGATAAACAGCTTTTTTGGTTTGTCTGTTTGGCTTTTTTTTTTTTTTTTTTGCTAGGAAATAGGTGCAGAGAAATTAAATGACTTGCACAGGGTCACACAGCGAGTAAACCCAAGTCTGTTGGACTCCAGAGCCACTTCTTTCTCTGCTACGTGGAGCGGGGACAGTTTCCCCTGTGAACTCAGGTCCTCAGTTTTGGGGAGGGCTGAATAGGCCAGTGAAGTCACACTCGCTTCCCTGCGGTCCACAGGGAGGATTGGCCGCCTCCCGGCTCCACCGAGTGGCAGTCGCCGCCCGTCGGCGCAGCTCGCTCCAGCCAGGGTGCCAAGCCGCGCACTCCCTCCCGGGCTGGGAGGGGTGTTCTCCGCCCAAAATCTTTCTTTGTGCAGCTGCGCGCCGGGGTCAGATTATTCCTGGCAAAGTGCTCAGCACGCCAAGGTGCCAGGGGCACCAAGGAGCCGGCTTGGGGTAGCTCAGGGTGGAGAAAGTCGGGGACACAAACCCGGGAAAGAGGGAAAAGCGCTCCAAGAAGGGTGGCCCCTGGCTTTGGTCTCCAGCGTGGCCCTGGCGCCCGCTGACACTGCCCCAAACTTTATCCTGTGTTGCTCCCACCGCTTCCGTCCAAGGCTCTCTGGGGAACTGGGAAGGCGGGGAGGAAAGTACAGCAGCTGGGAGCCCCAATGACCCACTCCTCCCTGCTTAGCACCAGAGCTGACGTATGAAGGGGCGAGGGTGAGGGGACACGCTCCCTGGCGGGACCCAAGGTGAGGCCAGTCAGGCTCCCTTCCCTTCTTGGTTACCTGTCCCCGACCCGGAGAGCGGCGGCTGCTGCACGGGGAAACGATGTCTGGGAGATGACCCTGCTGAGGAGCGAGGTGGCGGGCCTGGGGATACAGTCAGGCGTCTTCAGGTTGGTGCTAGTCGAGCTGCCTGTCCCGCCCAGGAGGCGCTCACCTGCTTGGACACCTCCTCCCTGAGCTCCCGAAACCCAGCTCTCAGCCAAGCAGCGTAGGCGCTACATCCCTGGGACGCGGAGACTCCGAGCTGCCGGAGCCAAGGTTCCCCGGCCTCCAGGGAGCAGGCCTTGGGCATCGGGGCTTCTCTTTCCATCTTCGAGGACCCTGTCCCTACTGGGAACCTGTTCTGGAAACCCAAGATCCTCCATCTCGTCTGGGACCACGAGAGAATAATTTGGGGTTCTTTCCAAGGACCCTTTCGAGGAGCTTTAGGCTGTCCCTGCCCCTCCTTCTCGCGCCCCAGGACCGGTTAGGGAGAAGCCAAAGTCCCTTCTCCTGAAGAGTCCTATCTAGGGAAGCCGGAGTGGCCGTCCCGCCCGGGGCCGGTCTTTGAGAATCGGGTACCCTCTCCTTCAGGGCCAGAGTGGGGAAAGCTGGGGTCGCTGCCTTGCCCGGGACCCGACCAAGAGAAACCTGGATCCCCTCCAGACCGATTTGGAGAAAGGCGGGTTTACCTCCCTCCTGCAGACGGCCGGGGGAGAAGCGAGCCTCCCTTGCAGTCAGGCCGGCGTGACGCGTGGCTCCGCCTGGGAACCGCGCGTCGGAGACGCGGGCTGCCTCTCCTGGCTGCGGCCCCCGCGACGGCCCAGTACGCTGGCTTAGGATGCGCGCTGAGCTCGCAGCTGCAAGGGCCGAGGGCAGCCAGGACAGAAGGGCCCTTGCTGGGCTGCACCCGTGCCGCGCGCCCGGAGACCGCGCGCCCTCCTCCGGCACCGCGAGGTCGGCGCCCTCCGGGGACCGGGTCCCGCGCTCCCAACGCCACACCGGGCGGCCACTTACCGCGGTAGCTGGTTCCCGGCTTATAGAAGTCGGGGTCGCCCTCCACGCGGAGGCTGAACTCGGTGTAGCCCTCGCGACGCGTGCCCTGGGCGCGCAGGATACGGCTGCAGTAGCCCTCTGACTTGGGCACTTTGTCCAGGGTCTCGTCGGAGAAGGCCAGCGCCGCGGCCAGGGGCAGCACCAGGGCCAGCAGTGCCGGCGTCCGGCTCAGCTTCAGGGGCGCCAGGGACAGCCTCATCCTCGCGGCCCCCAACTTTGTGCCGCGGCCGCCGGCCTTGGCCACGCGACTCCTGCCCGAAGTGGTCCCGACGAAGGCGCGACCTGGCGGAGCCGGGGCGGAGAGAGGGAGCTCGGAGCCGGCGTCGGCGACTCGGAGACCGTGCCAGGCTCGGCTTGGCGGCCGCGAAGCTGCGCTGCGCTGCGCTGAGCTGAGCTGAGTCAAGCGAACGAGAGCAGCGCGAGGAGGGGAGGGCCGCGGCGAAGGAGCGGGAGGAGGGAGGGCTGATTTTGCCCAGATCCCCCAGCGCAGCGCTGTTTTGTTTCCTCCGAACTGGCGATTAGCAACGCGGCCGTGTTTATTTTGCGACATTGGGTTCCCAGGGTCTGACGAAGAAATCATGGCATACCGGACACTGTGGGCTCTGTCCCATCGCCTAGGAGGCTGCTGCTCCAACCCCCAGCTACACTCCGGACCCTCTGGAGGACGGTGCTCAGAGGAAGGAAAGCCTGAGAAATAACTTTTGTAGCACACCTGCTCTGTGCCCAGCAATATGCTTGGCGGCTTACTTACTGTATCGACTCGCCTTCATGTTCCCTACTCCCAATAAAGATTGCATTACTTTCACTCACTTTATAGATGAGCAAACTGAGACTTGCGACCAGTTACTGCAGGATTAGATGCGGCGACTCCGGGCCCATTGCTCTTCCCAAGGCCATATTGGAACATGTCAGACTGGAGGCTGAGAAAGGAGAAACGACTTAGCTACAGAGGTTAGGGCCCACGATAATTTTGGAGATCTATTAAAATGTTTTCTTTAAAAATCAGAAGAAAAAAGTTTAGGTCAAACAAAATGTTTCACTGTATAATGTTAATATATTTGTATTTACACCTCTACAGTCATAAAATATGCTTAACCTGGAGGAAGGAGCCAGCAAAGGCAAAAGTGCCCAAGGCTCAGGAAGGTCCTCCTACTGCCCGGGAAAGGAGTTTCAAAAGATTCAATGAAGAGCCTGTGTTTTCTTGGCTTACATTTTAGTTCAGATTATCAGTCCCCAGGGACAGATGTTCAGAGAGGTGCTGAGCCTGGGGGCCTGAAGGGAAAAGACCCGGGGCAAGAATCTCTCCCAGTGTCTCTCTGGGGAAGAGACCCAAATCAAACCTCAGTCCTGCCACTCACCCATTGTGAAGCTTGGGCTAGTTACTACACTCTCCAAACTTGTTTCCTGCTCTGGAGAACAAGGGAGTGGGGGTGGGTGCCAGTACATCCTTCCTAGAGGTAGTGGGGGGATATGCTAGAGTTGAATGATGACCCATATAAAAGACTCGAGCTGGTCTCTAGTGGCGCCCGCTCCCTCACCCGCTTGGGGATACCTTAAGCCCCCTGCCTCTCAGTGCACACAAGCATCCCTCCCCAGGTGCCCTCAGAAGCTTTGGTTTCCTCTTCTTTTTGCCCAGGGCCTTCAACACACCTTAAGTGCCTACAATTAGCAAGCAATCTCCTTTGCTTTCCGGGTCAGTGTTTTCTCTTTCATAACGCTACAAACAGGCCCAGGGCGCCCCCTGTACGGGAGGTCCGCCCTTCCTCCCTGCCTGCCCACTTACTCAGCAGTGCTTGTGCTGGAATTCCCAGTGCCACTATTAACTGGGTGCCTTCTCTCAGAGGTCACCTGAGAGTAACCCCTTGCTGAAGCCAATTATGCTCCTCTCATCCCTTGCCCTTCTCGACCCTCGCAGCACCTAATCCAGCTGATCGGCCCTCCTTTTTGAGGTGAGGCTCAGATCCACGTCTAAGTGCTGAGGGAATTGTCTGCATCTTCACTCCACTGGCTCAGCGCTCATGCTGCACTCCAAGTTGCACGGTCCCATCCATCCAGCAAGCTTTCATTAAGTGTAGATTTGGAGCTGACTCCGTGCTGACCAGTAGGTAGAAGAGGGAACAAAAATCCATCCATCCATCCATCCATCCATGCATCCATCTATCTGTCCATTCATTCATGACAAAGACCCTCCATGTACTCAGTGCTTGGATAAAAAAAACATAGATATGTTACTTGCCTTTAAGGATTTTACACGCCTGTGGCAAAGACAAATATTAAATACATAATTATATGAAACTTTTCAAATGATAATTGTGATGTATGCTACAAAGTAAAATAAGTGGTTCTTGAAAGTGTACCCGATCTTATCTCAGAGGGCAAGAAACTACAGAAATGAATAAAGTGTGACCCCTGTCTTCACGAAGCTTATGGTATGTCTGAAAGCTCAAATCTGTGCTCTTGAACCTCTATTCATCTACAAAAGGTTCAAATCTAAGTTGGAGATGGGTGGGCATGAAGTAGGCAGGAATGCAATATTTAACTTTACGTTGGATATTGACAGGAAATCTATGTGAAGTAGGCAGCCTCAATTCACCTCCGCACTCCCATTTTTCAGATTAGGAGCCTATGATATTACCTGCTAAGATAATGTTCCATGGCTATTAAGGGAAAGAGCCAGGATTTAAAACAGGCATCCCCAACACCAAATGAGGTACTTTCCAGTACACAGTGTTGGCCCTACTATCTGGGCTATGACAGCAGGCTCTAACCAGCTCACCAAGCTCCAATCCCAGTACATGAGCCAGGTTTTCCTAAACCAGCTTGGCTGTCACTCACACCTCTGCTCTTTTCTCCACTCATCCAATCCATCACCACATCAACAGTTTCACGCTCTCCTCCACCACTACTCCAGTCCGTGTTGACATCCTCTCTCATCCTCCTAACTGGGTTGCCCTTGTCTACTTGTGCTCTCCTTCCATCTGTCTTCCGCACTGAAGCCCAAGTGATCTTTTTAAAAATGCAGATTTGAATGTCAATCCTGAGGTTAAAATTTTTTCTCAGTGGTTTTTCAGGGCTCTCAGAATAAAGATAGAATCTTTAGCCAGGTCTCCAAGGCTCTGCTTGATCTGCCTCTCCAGCCATGCAGCTCTTCTCTTTGTCTGTGCTGTTCTGTCTGCCTGGAATCCTATCATGCTCTTTGGTCTCTCCTACCCACCACCCTCCACTGGCCAACTCCTATGCACTCTTCAGATCTCAGTGCAAAACTGCCTCCTCAAAGAAGACCTTTCTGGTTTCCTAGAAGAGATCCAGCCACTAAAACTCTGCTGGAGCTCATGAGTACCTTTTCTTTTAATCTCCTTCCTCCTCCTCCTCCTCCTCCTCCTCCTTCTCCTTCTTCTCCTCCTCCTCCTCCTCCTTCTCCTCCTCCTTCTTCCTCTTCTTCCTCTTCTTCCTCTTCTTCCTCTTCTTCTTTTCCTTCTTCTCCTTCTTCTTCTTCTTCTTTTTCTTCTTCTCCTTTCTCCTTTCTTCTTCTTGAGGCAGGGTCTTCCTATGTTGCCCAGGCTGGTCTCAAACTCTCGGGCTCAAGAAATCCTCCTGCCTCAGCCTCCCAAAGTGTTGGGACTACAAGCATGAACACCTGGCTTCTTTTAATATTAAGATTTATAAGGACCTATTCACTTATAAGTTTGATTTTTAAAATTTTATATTTGTTCAGTCTTTGTCTCCATTCTAAATTCTAAGCTCCAGAATGTCTGTGGGGCTTACCACTGTATTTTCCGTGCACACATAGTGCCTGGCTCATAGTAGGGGCTCCATAAATATTTTTTCTCTGAATAAAAACTTTTTAACAAGCCTACCCTCAATGCCTTCTGACTCAGCCCTAAATTTTAAGACTTGGCCTCCAAGGCCCTCCTTGTTCTGGTCTCACTGTGTCCATCTGGTCATGCCTTGTCATAGATCCCAAGCTGAGCTCCCAACACCACCCAGCTGGGCTCCCTGTGTCCTCCACTTTCAGTATTGTCTCAGCACCTTTGCTTACAGCGTTCTCATGGCCTGGAATGCCCTCCCCCCTCCTGCCTGTTTAAATTTTCCTCCATAGAATGAGATCCTGCAGTCTCCCCTCCTCTGGACTTCAGTAGAACTGAGGAGAAAAAGTTTCCTATTTCGACTATTGTGTTCCAGTGAATTGTCATGAACTATTTCTTGTGTCTATTTCTCATCTCCTAGCAATGAATCCAGTTTACTTTCCCCTTAATTTCCTGTTCAGATGTTTTGTTCTTTTGTAAAATATACTGGACTTCAAGAAATCGCCTTCCAGTGTTGTAGCCTAAGGCAGAGCTGATGTTAGTTGCTACGGTGTTGCTAAGGAAAGTCATTTAGCCAGGGCAGATAATTAACTTTATCAGTGTGTGTGGGTAGGTCGCAGAAGAGAAGAGCTGGGGGCTCCAGTTCTCCAAGAGGAAAAAAGTCCTTTGATTCATAGGAGGTAAGATCTCCCTCTTTATTTCCCCCCTTTAAGAGAGAAGGGGGAAAAGGATTTTCTAGATTAGGGTTTTTCTGAGTTTGGTCACTGAAACATGAGCCTTAGATGTTTGCTTCAAATGCAAATTCCGAAACCTCATCCTAGACCTACTAAATCTGTACTTTGAAAAAACTCATACTAAAGTTTAAGGAACCACCATCCTAGACTGTAATTCAGACTTGAAGTACATGGGTTCCAGGCTGGTTCTCCTATGTTTTCGCCATGTGAAGCTGTGCAGTCTTGGAGAGTCACAGGACCTATCTACACTGATTATGTGCAAAATTGGTCATAGTAATACCCATCTTGCCCACTTTGTGGGATTTTGAGAAATAAATGGGTAAGTGAGATAATTTGTAAACTGCAACGAGGTCACAAAAAACCCCACCTAGTTATTATTGTTATTCTTATTAATTTAGGAAAACAGTCTAGAAA